GGTGCGGCTTGAGGTGGGAGGAGGGGATAGGTGGGAGGAAGAACAGGTTAGGGAGGCAGGGACGAGCTGGACTGGTTTTGGGATGCGGTAGGGGGAGGGGAGATTTTGAAGCTTGTGAAATCCACATTGATACCATTGGGCTGCAGGGTTCCCAAGCGGAATATGAGTTGCTGTTCCTGCAACCTTCGGGTGGCATCGTTGTGGCACTGCAGGAGGCCCAGGATGGACATGTCGTCTGAGGAATGGGAGGGGGAGTTGAAATGGTTCACGACTGGGAGGTGCAGTTGTTTATTGTGAACCGAGCGTAGGTGTTCTGCAAAGCGGTCCCCAAGCCTCCGCTTGGTTTCCCCGATGTAGAGGAGGCCACGACGGGTACAGCGGATGCAGTATACCACATTGGCAGATGTGCAGGTGAACATCTGCTTGATGTGGAAAGTCTTCTTGTGGCCTGGGATGGGGGTGAGGGAGGAGGTATGGGGGCAGGTGTAGCACTTCCTGTGGTTGCAGGGAAAAGTGCCGGGTGTGGTGGGGCTGGAGGGGAGTGTGGAGCGGACAGGGGAGTCACGGAGAGAGTGGTCCCTCCGGAAAGCAGGTAAGGGTGGGGAGGGAAAGATGTCTTTGATGGTGGGGTCAGATTGCAGATGGCGGAAGTATCGGAGGATGATGCGTTGGATCCGGAGGTTGGTGGGGTGGTGGGGACGAGGGGGATTCTTTTTTGGTTGTTATTGCGGGGACGGGGTGTGAGTGATGAGTTGCGGGAAATGTGGGAGACACGGTTGAGGGCGTTCTCGACCACTGAGGGGGGGAAGTTGCGGTCCTTGAAAAATGAGGACAACTGAGATGTACGGGAGTGGAATACCTCATCCTGGGAGCAGATGTGGCGGAGGCGAAGGAATTGGGAATAGGGGATGGCATTTTTGCAGGAAGGTGGGTGGGAGGAGGTGTATTCTAGGTAGCTGTGGGAGTCGGGCTTGAAATGGATATTGGTTTCTAGGTGGTTGCCCGATATGGAGACAGAGAGGCCCAGGAAGGAGAGAGAGGTATTAGAGATGGTCCAGGTGAACTTAAGGTTGGGGTGGAAGGTGTTGGTGGAGTGAATGAACTGTTCGAGCTCCTCGTGGGAGCATGAGGCGGCGCCGATACAGTCATCAATGTAATGGAGGAAGAGGTGGGGTTTAGGGCCAGTGTAGGTACGGAAGAGGGATTGTTCCACGTAACCTACAAAGAGGCAGGCATAGCTTGGGCCCATGCGGGTACCCATGTCCACCCCCTTTGTCTGTAGGAAGTGGGAGGAATTGAAAGAGAAGTTGTTGAGGGTGAGGACGAGTTCGGCTAAGCGGATGAGGGTGTCAGTGCAGGGGGACTGGTCGGGCCTGCGGGACAGGAAGAAGCGGAGGGCCTTTAGGCTGTCTGTATGGGGAATGCAGGTGTATAGGGACTGGACGTCCATGGTAAAGATGAGGTGTTGGGGACCGGGGAATTGGAAGTTCTGGAGGAGATGGAGGGCATGGGTGGTGTCACGGACATAGGTAGGGAGTTCCTGGACCAAGGGGGAGAAAATGGAGTCCAGATAGTTGGAGATAAGTTCGGTGGGGCAGGAGCAGGCGGAGACAATGGGTCGACCAGGGCATTCAGGTTTGTGGATTTTGGGAAGGAGATAGAAGCGGGCGGTGCGGGGTTGGGGAACGATGAGGTTGGAGGCCGTGGGTGGGAGGTCACCTGAGGTGATGAGGTTGTGGATGGTTTGGGAGATGATGGTTTGGTGCTCGGGGGTGGGGTCATGATCAGGGGGGGCGGTAGGAGGAGGTGTCGGAGAGTTGGCGTCTGGCCTCGTCGATGTAGAGGTCAATGCGCGATACTACAACTGCGCCTCCCTTGTCCATGGGTTTTATGGTGAGGTTGGGATTGGAGCGGAGGGCTGCATGTTCTGCGGGGGAGAGGTTGGAGTGGGTGAGAGGGGTGGAGAGGTTGATTTCACAAGCTTCAAAATCTCCCCTCCCCCTACTGCATCCCAAAATCAGTCCAGCTCATCCCCACCTCCCTAACCTGTTCTTCCTCCCACCTATCCCCTCCTCCCACCTCAAGCCGCACCCCCATCTCCTACCTACTAACCTCATTCCGCCCCCTTGACTTGTCCGTCCTCCCTGGACTGACCTATCCCCTCCCTAACTCCCCACCTACACTCACCTTTACTGGCTCCATCCCCGCCTCTTCGACCTGTCTGTTTCCTCTCCACCTATCCTCTCCTCTATCCATCTTCTATCCGCCTCCCCCTCTCTCCCTATTTATTTCAGAACCCCCTTCCCTTCCCCCATTTCTGATGAAGGGTCTAGGCCTGAAACGTCAGCCTTTCAGCTCCTCTGATGCTGCTTGGCCTGCTGTGTTCATCCAGCCCTGCACCTTGTTGTCCCCTATTCATGGAATACTTGTCTTTGTTTTTCTTTTCTGTATGCAATAATTTATGCTTCTCTTAAATTCAATTTACCGTTGCTCTGTCCACTTAGAAACTTTGTTCAGCTCACAACTTAGTTTCTGAGCTGTCTCCTTTAATTCCAGTCAGACTTGATGTCATCTGCAAAAGTCATGGAATTCTAAACCCAAATCCCTGATCTAACATAAACAGTTATAGTACCAACAGTAATCCCTGGAACATCCCAGCATCTCTGTCATATTAACATAACATCACGAGTGAGCACTTTAACAATGACATTTAGAACCCTCCCAAGATTTACCCTGGATGTTCAAAGCATTGCCCTTGTCTGGTCACCAGTTGTGTGAAATGTTGCAGACAAACTTGGAATCCAGTTGTGAGAGCAAGATCTCACATACAACAATGAGATATGCATTTTTTTGAAAGGTGCTATTGATCTTATTTGCATGTTATGTTCTAATTTTTATTGTGAAGTAGTTATCCAAACATCAGAATTAATTTTCCAAAGGCTCAAATCCTATCGCAAAATTTTTGCATTAAACTTTGGACATGACTAACAGGCAAGACTATTGAGAGATGAGAAATTAAACAGAGTATACATTTAAAATGTTGCCATGCAGAAAATAGGTAAATACTGCAAAAAAAGTGTTCATATATTACTAGTTGATCTTCTATATCTTATTTACCTGTAGCTAGTCATAAACAGTTGAACTATGGGACTGATTATTTAATATTGAATGCATTTCATTGACTACTGTGCCACATTCTGCATAACATGTTAGTTTAAGCTTCAGATAGGTGGAAATTGTCAGTAGAATAGAATTTGTTTTAGCTGTTATAAGAGATTTATTCACACAGTCAGTAAATTAACTTTTAATACATTAATTTCATGCTTGATTTTGAGAACATTGCCACAATTTTTTTTTTGTTTTACTAGATTTATACAAAAGAAGCTTTGAACATCAAGAATGTCAAGCCATTAATTCTCATCTTCAGCCAATTGAGTGGGGGGTGAGTGAATTATTATTTTTATTGCACACTCAGAGCTTGTGGTTGAACAAATCTGGCTTTTGTGACTATCAAAGAGTGGAATGTTTGTTTATAGCTTTCCTTTGTTTCCATACAGTGAAACAGAAAAGAAAACCACATTGGATCAAGCATTCAGAGGTGTTCTGGAAGAAAAAATTGTGAGTCTCAATGGAATTGTGTTATATGTGACAATATGAGGTACTTTTAGGTACTATATATGATAATGATTGATGGAAATACATACATTTGTCAGTGTTATGTGGTACATTTATCTGATACAGACATGTGTATGTTAGTGTTCATGGTATGCAGGTGGAAAAGGACCATAGTTTTCCCCTTTGAGCTATAAACTGGATTGGAAGTTAGACTGCTACTGTTGAGCAAGTAGGTTTTACTAACTTTTTGTTCATGTTCTTTTTTCTAGTTAGAACAAGGAGAATGTGAAGATTTCTTGGCTATAATCTCTCTCAGCATTAATGGAGTCACAGAAGGTAATAGTGTAATCAAAATTTTGTCTCAAATGAGACCCTTTTATTCAGCCTTGAACAGTGTCTAATATCAAGATATTTGCATATAACCAAGTATAGGTTATGTGCCATTACGTGAAATTGCCAATTTATTCCATATAACAGTAAAATGTTGTAAAATAGAAGCAGGAGTGAACCACGCCACCCTTTGAACTTGCTCCACCTTTCAACTCTGTTTGGAGTTTCTTCCATTATTTTTCCATTATCCAATATTACAGATTCCATTCTGTCCAGAAATGGACCGATCTCCGTCTCCAATATACTCTTTAAAAAGTGTGTATATTCACTGGAGTAGAACATTCGAAATTTCATAAATAATTTCATCTCAGTCCTAAGACACAAGGCACAACTCAATCGTGTGAGGAATACTCTCCTTTTGTTTGGATGAATGCAGCTCCATCAACAATCAAGAAGCTTGACACCATCCAGGCCAAAGCAGTCCACCTGACTGGCACCACATATACAAATATCCACTCCCTCCATCACCAACACTTAGCAGCAGCAGTTGCACTGCTGAAATTCACCAAGGCTCCTTACAGAGTCATGCACCTTCCAAACTCATTATCACTTCCATGTAGGAGGAGAGGGACAGCTGATGTATGGGAATACCACCACCTCCAAGTTCCCCATCAAAGGGCTCACAATCTTGACTTTGAACTATATATCGCCATTCCTGGGTCGAAATCCTGAAACTCCATCACGACTGAAATTATGGGTCGACCAACAGCGTGTAGACTGCAGTAGTTCAAGAGGGCCACTCACTATCATCATCTCAAGGTTAACTAGGGATTGGCAATAAATGTTGGCCTAGCTGTCAGCACCTACATGTCGGGTGTCAGTGTTTTCATTTTTTAAATTTGTGCATTGTGTCTCTGCCAGTTGAAAAAGAGCTATCCAACCTGATCCCACTTTCTGGCTCTTGTTCCCTAACCTTGCAGATTACGGCCTTCTTGTGCATGTTCAAGTATTTTTTTAAAAAAGTGTAAAACTTATCAAATGCATTAACTACCTTTACTGGCAGTGAAAAACCCCAGCACATACACCCAGTGAAAAACCTTTTCCTCAATTCCTGTCTCATCCTTCTATCAATTAATTTACATCAATGTGCCGATTTGTTACTTCTTCGCTAAAATAAATGGATCCTTTTTACTTACTATTATCGAGTTCCCTCTTAATTTTATAGACTTAATTTATATCTCTCCTCCATTATCTCTGATCCAAAGAAAACAATCCACTGGAATGAATTCCATTTGCCATTTTTCTATCCATCTGGTCAATCCATTGATAACGTTGCACAATCTACATGTTTCTTCTTCACTGTTTGTTCATTGCTGACTGCTGAAGAGTCCCTCCGATTTTGGAACATGAGCAGCTGAAAACTGCAGAAGAAGTTTTGTATTAGAATGCTGTTCACTTTCCAGCATCAGCATGTTGTTTGGTGATTCTTAGGACTTTGCTTATCATTAGGGGTGTTGAGCTTTAATTCATTTCGTGGATCATCCAGTCTTACATGATCTTTAAACTTGTATCACAAAAGATCTGACTCATCTTTGCCATGGTTAATTGTAGGATTTCCCCCCCAAAGTTTCACTCTCCCTCCATCAAAAGATGAGAAGTTGGAATGTTTGCTAATAATTACATGATATTCAGCACTATTTGCAATTGTCAGATACTGAAGTAGTACATGCCACACAAGTGCAAGTCAAAGGTCATTTCTAACAAGAGAGAAACTAACCATTTCCTTTTGACCTTCAATGGTACAATCCTGCTGGATTACCATTGAACAAAAACTGAACTGGACCAACCAGATAATTGGCTACAAAAGCAAATCAGAGATGAGGAAATCTGCACCTAACAACACATCTCCTGTCTCTCCAATACTGTCCACTGTCTTCAAGATGAAAGTCTGTAGTGTGATGGAATAACCTCCACCTGTCCAGCTGTGTGCAACTCCAATAAAACTTGAAGCTTCACCCTTTTTCAAGACAAAGCAGCCCACGTGATTGCCATCACATCCACCACCTTACTATTCATTCCTTCCATAACTAATACACAGGGCAGCAATGTATACTATCTATTGCCACAAAGCTCCTTCCAAAGCAGTTTCCAAGCGCACAGCATCTATCACCTCTAAGGACAAGGGAAGCAGTTGCATGGAGTATCACCAGGTTCTCAAGCCACACATCATCCTGACTTGGAATTATATCACCACTCCGTTACTGTTGTTGAGTTGATAACCTGGGACTCCTTCCTAACAACACTGTGGCAGACTCCATGTCAAGGACTGCAGTGGTTCAAGAGGGCAGCTCATCACCACCACCTTCACACGAGAATTTAGGAATAGGCATTCAGTGCTGGCCTGATGTGAGAATGAACATATGAAAAGTTAAACCTGAATCATCAAATCTATCTGTTACTTCCCTGTTCATGCAATAAAAGCCTTTCTCTGTCCAATTCAAACTTTCTGATTTTTTTCTCTCAACGAAATTTAAAACCTTCTTTTCTAATAATCGCTGGAACTTTAATTCAGTTTGCTGTTCCTTTCTTTCCTTTTCTTTCTCTTTTGCTTCCCTTTTGAGTTCAGATTTACTAACTCCTTCTTCCATTTCAATCTGCCACATTTGCTGCTGTCCCAGCCAATTTAAGATGCGTTTTAACTGGATTATTGTTTCCTTTCTCCAGGTGTAAATGTTGAGCTAAGACCTCAACTATTTCTGTTTTGTAGTGTCTCCTTGACATTCTATGTATAAATTACCTGCGACTTGTTTTGAATTAACCTTTATTATTTGTTGTAACGTACTGAGTCAAATGCTCTCTTGTTGAGGAAAGCTGAAGCAATAGATATAGCCATTTTTAAACTTTCAACACATATAGCAAAACTCGCTGTGAAATCTTATTTGTTTAAACTTTTAGCAAAATTTAGTGTACTTTCTTAGCCTGTGGATGTGAGATGCCACAAAGAGCATCCAATTGTTTTACAATCTCTGTAGAAACCAATAACTTTTAAAGAGAAATTCAAACTTCAGCTATTTTCTGAAAACTGTTAAACGTCATACTTTTAATATTTCTTGTCCCAGAAATCAATCCAAATAACCTATATTCCAGACCCTTCAGGCAAGTCTATCCTTTCTTAGGTAAAGGAACTGAAATTGCACAGCACTTCAGATGTGGCCTCATTAAGGCACTGTATAATTGTAAAAAAGACTTATTTTCTCTTGTATGTCAATTTGTTTAGTACAAAGACTAACATGTCATTTGCTTTTCTAATTATTTACTCTGTGGTTGTTAACTTTCTAGTATTATTTTAGTTCAATAACTCTGAGGGATCTCTGAATACCAGTGTTTCTTAGTCTCTCACTGTTTAAAATTCATAATTCTCCATTAAATATTTCTAAATTAACTAATTATATGGAATTGTTACCAAAATGTGTATGACTAGTTTCATAGGTTAAATATAACCAGAACTGTGTTTTAATTCAGTGATCAGAAGAACTACTGATGTTACTGATGATAAACTATCTATAGCCTTAATTGTTCCCCATTACGAAACCTTTGTTTACAGACTTTGATCTGATGGTATTTAGAATTGTAAAATTTTGATTCCCTCTTCAACCAAATTAAGATACCCATAGCAAATGTTTTAATCTATTAGTGAAAGAACATTCAGCGCGAGGGCTCGATAGCATTCTTTCTTTTAAACAAACAAACATGTTAAGCTGTAATAACTTGATTGCTTATTTTGTGCTTGTGTAGGTATCTGTTCTGCAACAACACCCTTTCTACTGCTTGGTGATGTGCTTGATTGCCTTCCTCTGGACCAGTGTGACAGAATATTTACTTTTGTTGAGAAAAATGTAGGAACTTGGAAATCTGTAAGTAACTCGCTTGATGGAAAATAGATTGTCAAAAAAATTCAGACAAAATAATTTGACTCTTTATTTTTATTCACATTTCCTTATGTTAATTTATTGATCATGTTTAACAATTAAAAATAAAATTGAAATAGTATTGTTGGTTCATTAGGAATCTCGTCAAGTAACACCAATGAAACACACCCTGCAGTTCTTTCAATTTCAGATCAGTCAAGCCCAGAGAGTAGACTGCTTGCTGTTGTGGCTTGGTTAATGATACTGTTGCCCGGTTAGTGCCCTCAACAACAGTTATTGGCTCGGTACAAAGAGGACAAGAGTCAAGTCTGTAGGGTGGCATGGTGGCACAGTGGTTAGCACTGCTGCCTCACAGCGCCAGGGACCTGGGTTCGATTCCACCCTCAGGCGACTGTCTGTATGGAGTTTGCACTTTTTGTCCCTGGGTGCTCTGGTTTCCTCCCACAATCCAAAGATGTGCAGGCTAGGTGGATTGGTCATGCTAAATTGCCCATAGTGTTCAGGGTTGTGTAGATTAGGTGGTTTATAGGGGGATGGGTCTAGGTGGGATGCTCTGAGGGTCGGTGTGGACTTGTTGGGCCGAAGGGCATGTTTTCACACTGGAGGGATTCTATGATTCAATTAAGCACTAACTATTTGTTTAGTTAAAACTGACATACAATTTACACCATTTGTTTAGGAAAAGGTTAACAGCAGGCGAGCAATTCATACAAGGCTAAAATCCAAGCACACACCCATTTAAGTTTTCTAATGACGTTCCCTGAACAGTCAACAAAAAAAGGCTAATACCCAAAAATAGAAGCTCATGCTGACCGGGTGATTTCTTCAGGTCTCGGGGCCCTCTTCACACTTTCAAGTGTGGGGTCCACGACTTTGCGAAGGTTGCTCTCTGAAGTTTTCGCTGATGGCACACTGAAATCCTTCATTTTTATCTTTTTTCCTTGTCTCCTGAACTGTGATGTCTTGTTCTTGATGGTTTATAACTCGTCTGAGAACCAGTGTTTTTCCACTGTAGGCTCACTCCAAGGATACCTTTAGGATTACCTCATTATTCTTCCTCCAAATAAGGACTTGCACCTTATGTCATCCTTAGAGCTGATCTGGTTCAAGCCAGCCCAAACCAGTGACTGGGACTCTAGTAACTTCAGTTCACATGCTTGCTGGCTCAATATGTTTGCAGCCCCTGGCCAACAAGAGAGAGAGAATCCATAAAAATGATGGAGGAAATATTGTTAAAAATATAGTGTGCGGGTAATAAGGTACTGAAGTCTCTCTAATTATCAATCAAAATAATCTGCTGCTGAAAGTAAAAGATCACGTCACAGACATCTCACTGCCTCCTCATTTTCTTCACATAATTGTAGCTCATGTTGGTTACATTTCCATGGGTACTTTAACAAGTTGGCCTTTCTTTACATGTGTGTCTAGATAAGAAGTGTTGCAGGATTTTAGATTCCAAGTTCAGTTTAATTTTCAGCTACCCATATGTACACTTTACAATATGAAACAAGTGGATTTTTTTTGAGAATGCTGGCTGCTTTTAACCAAAGTTAGTACTAAATTAATTTATACCAGCCCCTCAATTCTTGCTGAAGTTTGGTAATTTATGTATGACTCGATAGCGTACTAGAACGTATATTTTCTCGCTGCATCACTGTACCATTGGGGAATATTTATCATTTGTATGATATTTATTATAATGTTGAGAGGCTTCCTTCAGTATGGAATATTTGGTTATGCATTCAGTAATCAAAAATTTTTATTGAAATACAAAATTTAGAAAAAACATGTCATACCATCAATACTCTTAACAATCTAGTTATATTGCATTTGTTAAGCAAGAATAGCTGTAAAATTGGTTAAAAGTCAAGCTTCATGGGAAGCAAATGAACCACTAAATCTAAGTTGGGGCCATAGCAAAGTAGTATCAAAAATGTACAAAACGTACTGATTTTGGCCCATCCTGTTGAAGATTAGGCTGTAGTAGAACTGGAGGCCCTGTAACCCTCCTTGTGTTTAACAAGGTTATTGTTGAAAGTCCTGATTTTATTTATCTCTACTGCAATCTCAGGTAGTGCTTCCAGATCTACATTTTAAAAAAAGTTTTCCCACATGTTGCAGCTGATCCTTTTGCCACCTTAAATTACTGTCCGTTGTTGTTCACCATTCTCCATAGTGGCTACATTTCTCTATATATAGCTGTCTAAACCTTCATAATTTTGATCACTTATATCAAATGTCCTCTGCAATCTTCTCTTCCTATGGAGGACAGCCCCAACCGTTCCATTCTACTGATGTAATTGGCACCTCAAAAACTATTTTGTAATCTATTCTGCTCCCTCTCTGATGCCCTGACACTCTTTCATAATGGATGTGTCCATAATTGGACGCAGCACTTCAAATGAGCCAAACAGAGTTTCATAAC